TGCACGAGTTTACACAAAGAAACATTATTAAAATCGCTTTGTTTAAATACAGCGAAAAAATGTTACGAAACAACGATGTTCTCATATAGCTGTAGTATGTATGTATGGCAACCGCATCTTAAACTTAGTTATGGTAATTTTATTTCATAATTTTTGCGAGAAACTGGGCGCGAGAAAGTTCCACTTTACACTCTTTGAATTAATAAGTACAGTGTGCAATGAATATACGTGGTAAACTTTCGAAAATAATCTTAATTTTTTATTTATAATTCTAAGACAAGTACAGATGTAAAAAGATCAATATAAAACGATTGAATGATGATGTAAAGATTCTCATTTGCATAAAAAAAGGCAACAAAACTGAGTATAAAGAACTATTTTATATTAATACGATGGATTTTATATTATGGATGAATTCTCGCAAAGTGCACTTGAAGAGCAATATGTAGTAAATTATTGTTAGACTATCGATATTATTCAGGCAAATATAGCTGCTGTAGAAGCGCGCGACTCGTTTTCTGAACGTTTCCTTCTACCAGCGATTGTCCCAAGAATTTTTATTGCGGATCAGCGTATTCAAGGGATTTTCTTCGCACTTGATTTACTGCGAGATACAGAACTCGCACACACCAAGCTTGGTTTTATGCCCGAGGCTGAATAATAGTAAAAGCGCGGCGTCGTAAAACTGCAATCAAATAATGCATTATCGTAAATATAAGGCTGTATAATGTCCGTGTAAAATTCTGATGGTTTATATATCTCGTCCATGGCCAGTATCTATGGTCCAGCAACAATGCATCACCTGCAAATGGCGCATATCGCGGCGTAAAATAACGATATCAACTACAACCGGAAATTTTTACAACGCGTGTATACCCTTTTACACAGACATTGCGACAAATTTCCATAATTTCCATAATTTGTGTTTGAGTGAATCTATTTTATTTTTACACGGTATGATAAAATTTTCCGAGCATCACTGACAGAGATTAATTCGAGAGAAGGGAGCGAGCGAAAGAGAGAGAGAGAGCTGCACATTTTGTTCATATAATTTATTTGCTTTGATTTATCTCCATACGTAAATCGACGTAATAAAGTGACATTTTTCGTCATTATTGTAAAACAAATTAAAAGCTTAAGAAATGAAAAATAACTTTGCTTTTTACATATACGCTAAGAAACATTCGAGAAGCTTAAACACAATAAGAAGATAGTCGTTGACATAAAGGGAAGTAAGAATATCATGAAACTCTGGCATTTCATGGTTGTCGACCAAGAGAATGAACGGATGGACCGATAGGGGAATAACGCGACTATATACCGATGTAACGTATCGGAAAGAGAAACTTGGCTACGAGCAAAAAGAGAGCGTTTCTACGATACAGTTCGCTTTTCCCGGCGAATGAAAAGCAAACAGAAAAGTCGCGTCTTACCTCGATTCTATGACGTTCCATCGAATATGCACGCCTCTCCTTTTTTTATTCCGTTCTGTCTTCCTCTTTACGCCCTCGCTCGCAATTCTCAGGACACCTCGCGCCATTCTTTCCACGAATGCAATAAGCGCTATAGAGGAAAAGGAAGGGAGAGAGTTGGAAGCTAAAGGGAGCGCTGTCTTGGAGGGAATACCCCGAGAGAACTCTATGTTCTTCCGGTGACGCTCAATTATTACTCGTGCACGGACCAGGTCAATCTCGGACTACTTTAAATTACTTACTCGGCACGATATTCCGGAGGGAGGTGAAACTTCGCCGCGGCTCTCCTCGGGGAAATTTCGTACGACAGATCGAAAACTAATTCGTCGCGCGAGGATCAAAACTAGAACGGAATGTCGCAGCCGATAAATGAAACTTGACGCAACGAGATGGCAGAAATGTGAGACGTATATGTATACGAAAAGGAGATCGCGCGAGTTATTATTTTTGAAATGGAATCGCAAATTAGGCTATACGACTGCAAAACGTTGCAAATTCGAGGCAAATGAGTTGAACGATCTTTCATCAATTTACGATCCAGTATCGAGTTACGTTTCCGTTAGAGTAGCAACGTGCAAAACAAGCGGAGAAAATTGCCAGTTAGAGGTGAAGATTCGATTTTTCAGAGCCAAAACTGGTCGATCCATAGAATGCGATGCGGTGACAGGACGCGATGTGGTGACAGTAACGGAAAGTGGCGGAAAAAGAAAGAGAGGTGAGTGAGAGAGGTGCGACAGAATGGTGAGAGAGCTCAGCGTAGGAAATGAGATCTATAAGTGAGCGAACTGGACGAGTGCACGGGTGCACAGCCGAAATGCAATTTTCATCCAACTGCAGCCGTCCGCTCTTGCATTCGCAACGACTACAGTTGCCGACCAATTTTCTCCGTTCTCTTTTCCCTTCTCATTTATCTCGGTTTTTTCCGCGTCGCCATTTTCTCGATATGTTTACCAGATTGATTGCGTTCGCGTAGACAAATAATTCGATATTACGGTGAAACAATCTGCGAACGTGATGTTACAAAATGCATTACACGTATATAGCGCTGCGCGCGAGGTAAAATGTTGTACAAAGAACAAGAGAGTTCGATTTATCAGTTTGTTGCAGATGATTAACCGATGATGAAACATCGCGTGAAACATCGACGAAAATATGCGTTGCGGAACTTTAAACGTAAAACTAGAACGCGTTTATTTTTTTTTCTTTTTGATGATTATTTTTTACCGCGTTATAATCCTCGTTGTGCGAGATCTCATGGCAAGTGGGATTACGAAATTCGCGAGATACGCGTAGGGAGGAAAACGCGTAGACAAAAATTACAGAAGTACAGAACGCTGCGCGAATCAAGAGAGAAAGAGAAAACGAAACAGAAAAAGCGAACGACTAGTTACCACTTCATCTCGAGCGCAGTCGAGCTGCGGCTAATTAATGCACTTTTGTCGGTTTGCTACGACTCTGCTCGTGCTATGTATGATGGAAAAAAGGGTGGCTTATAATAGTCGAGAAACAGAGAAGAGAGCATGTGGTAATAAGATTGTATTGCACGCTTATTCTTTTAATAATAATATTCCGCATCTTTTCTATCATGCACGGAAAACAAAAAATTAAATGAGCGATAGATTATGACAACAAATCATTTAGAAAAGAGAAAAAAAGAGGAAGAGAGGTGAGATATAATAATAAAATAATGCAATATAAATGTAAAATTATATAATTTTGAAATATATTTTTATAATATTATTCTATGAAAAGGTGCGTATTATTCTATGAAAACCTGAAGCAGAAGACAAGCATTTGGCGAGTTGGTTAAAAAAATGTAAATCATGGATTTGCAATTATATTGTATACCGGCGACTTTATGCATTAATTTACCATCGTCTATCTCCTAAAGCTAAAGGAATTATTACAAAGTTACAAAAGATACGAAGCCGAAAGTTAATTAAAATTTCTCAATAATGCTGAAATTTATAAATAAATCTTCTTAATTACTATTTCTCTTCACTTTTCATCTCGCAATATTCTTCATAAAAGTTATAAAGCCATATTGAACACAAGCGTGTACATCGTGATGACACGTTCTTTTACAAAACAATATTCATATTCATGAATTTGTGTTTGATCTCTGTTCGTCCGTAATTTTTATCAAAATTGATACATAAATATAAAATTTAATAAACGAGAAATTTTCTACAAAATTTCGATCAGTAATGACAAACTCTTTGAAGCGATTATTTACTACAGCGATCATCGATTGTTTGATAATGGAAAAATTACAAGTGATTTAATTAGTAAGTTTTATAGAAATTTTTCATGGAAGAAGAACTCAAATAAATATTTAATAGTTTCACATATTTTTAAAGACATTACAAATACACACTTACATTTATTTCAAAAATTTGCATAAGGAGTAAGATTTGATATTATATTTAAAATATTTTGGAGATTCTTAATATTATGGGTGCGTCATAATATTTTTCATATCTTAAAAATAATTTTAATTTTCACTCCTTTGAGAAGGTACATATCGACTGTGTCAACTCGTATAAAATGTATAATTTGATGGATTTAATGCTAACGCATGCTCAGGTTATTTAATTATATTCTTCGGGTTACTATGAGTATGATCAAGTATATTAAATTTTGTTAATCTCTTCAACTCTGACAGCTTAATAGTCTAATTATATTATTCACTATACATATATGTTCTCTATTTTTGATAAAAATAAAATCGACATAAAAGAACGTCATATTTGTATATCACAATAATAATTAAAATAATAATAGTAATATATGTATAACAATTAAAAAAGTTATGACAATGTATAATAATAATAATATATTATATTGTTTTAACTAACAATATTAAAATTATAATACTGCTTTTCAGTTGTTTATTCATATTGTGTCAATTATCACAAATTTCAACTCGATTATTTTATAGATGGTTGTCATAACAAAAATATTTGTCGGGAAATGATAAATCAATAGCAGTAAGATTTAATCAATTTTCTGGTGTAATATTTAAAGCGTATAAAAAAATCGAGTTTATTTACAAACAAAATATAATACAAATAAGCGTACATTATATAGAAAATGAAGAAAGACGTATTGCAAATAATCAAGAAAAGTTTTTATTATTGAACAAACTAAGAATTTAAAGTTAAAGGATTTCTAACTTTTCTCAAAACATCAGAATATGAATTGCAAGATATAACTTCTGAGTATTTTAGTACTGAAGGCATGTTTTTACTAAATGTGTATTAATAAATAATTAGAAGATGGCGCGCCTCAAGAGAATGAACTGCAGAGAATATTGATTATACCGTAGAATGGAAACAATTCTATGTCTACACTCTATAACTTGAGATAACAAAATGAAACGAAGTCGTGTCTGTATATGAAGTACATCCTTGAATTGCCAAGATAATAAATGCCCCATTGTCTTCACGCGAGTTGATGAACGTCACTTTTGTTTCAACGTGCACCTCGAGATTTTCTACATCATGTAAGGAAGAGAAACATACTTACCAGAGAGCCAACTGGTAATGGTGGACCGCAAGATTCGGTTGCGATGTGTCTTTGAGGAAGTTAGCAAAGTTGTAATGCATCTTGGCATTGTAGGGCAGAGACCGCAACCCCGCTCTGAAACAAGATGATTTGAGGTCAGACGGGACCTTTCTCTCGACCTCAATGCGACCCTACCACCCTCATCATCCCATATCTACGTTAGTTATGTTTTGCAGCTCCATACATAGCCAATCGGCGCCTGGTGTCTGCACCGAGTTCGTGAACGTATACAACACTGGCACTATGCCAACCTCCTTGTTTAAGCCGGAACTAAGCAGTCGCCATAAATGTCCACGATATCTTCGCGTGACAAAATCATTTTTGCAAGGCTCGGAGATTGCGTGCAACGATTCTTTATATTTACCATTACTGCGAAAAGTTTATTTAAAATTACATGTACGCTTTGTAACGTTATTGATCGCGACCAAGTTTTTCTGTTCAAACGAATTAATTTCAGTTAATGAAAAACGTGTAATGTGGAAAATAATCTCTGATCACCTACTTGATTAAAGTTTCTCTAGATGTCCAATCTTTATTCCGAAGAACCGTTTTGAAACATCCTAGAACGAGCAGGAAAACTACGCCTGTAGTGATCCAGCTTCTTCGTCGAGGCACAGCAGCCCAGCTCACTTGCATACCGTAGACGATTAAAATAATCCATCCGACGCTGCAAAGTTACATCCAAAAATCATATCGTTTGTTGTAAGAATCATTATAATTCTGTTGTAATTTGTAACGTTTTAATGAAGTTACCTCGGTGTATATAAAACTCGTTCCGCCACAACGAAACCCACGGTAACGAAGAGATTGGACGCAGGTAGGAACGGCAATACCAGAAACATCCAGCCAAGAACGAGAGGTGGATGCCTCTGTTGCTAAAAATTAAAAAAAAAGAGATATGACGCATTGCTGAAGACATTCACTGACGCAAGGTTAAAATCCTTGTTAAACTCAACATCGAGATTTCTGCATCGAGATCTTTTCGGAAGCAAACTTACTGCAGAAGTTTCATCATGCTGGATGAACGTACTCGATTAAAGTTTACGTTATACTACGAGTTTATACTGCTTTTGCATGAAACTCGCCATACTCACGAAATTATGTTTAAATTCTGCACTCGCAAGTTTTAAATATATAATGATTCAAAGTATGATATGTATATATATATATATATATATATGTGTATATTGATTTGACACGCTCTTATCTGTAAACTCTAAAAGATAAATTCTATATCCATTACTGAAAAATACACTTTCATAGAAAATATAGATGTAAATGAATTAAAATCAAATGATAAATTGAAGTATTATGTAATACAAACAGCATTTAAACGCGTACCTACATTCACGAGGAAAAAGAATGTTTTTACATTTCCTAGTAAGAGTCCAACAATTTAACAATTTCTAAAATCCAACAATTAACAATAAGAAGCAATTTTTATCCAGAAGCAAAAAAAGAAAATAAAAATTGTAGTGATCTTATCGTTTCTCTTGTGTTGAAGTGTGTATCATCTAATCCACACCATAAAAAATCTAATAAGAAAAACTGGAAAAAAGACTTTTAATTTAAAAATTTTTTTTAATTATAAGATATGTTTAAATTCAAAGATTAATAAAAATACTATGAATAAAATATGTGTATATGTATAAAATATTTAAAATAAATTAAATGATATTCTAACCGAATATCATTCGAAAAATAATTTCAAAATTACTCGTGTTTCCAATATGTTTTATGATAATCAGATACTTAAAGTATCTTAAAACAGTTTTGCAATTTACAGATATATATGTTAATATATTTAAAATTTTAAAGAATTAATATTTTTATTTAGATTTTAAATATAAAATTTCCACTGTAATTTTCCCGTTTGTTTAATAAAATATGTTATTGTATATAGCAGAAATCATATTAATATTGTATTAATCTATATTTAAATATATTATGTATAAAATATAATGCGATAATTATTGCACATAATATTTAAACAATTTATAAATAGATCTGGACAATTGAAAAATACATCAAGTGAACAATAAATTTTCTTTCGACAAGTTAATCTATCAAAGAGCGAATTTTTTTAAACTTTAATATCAAAAAATTAGTTGGCCAATAATTTATTATTCGATAATATCGTTGCATAAGTTCAGAAAAACGTAGATGCAGTCGGTAAGATTTTTATGAATAAAGATAAAAATAATCTTACCTAATCTTATCCAATTTTATCCAATGAAAAAACAGAGAAATAAGGTAATCGTGTCAAAAGAGATTTAAAGCCATCCCCTGCAGAACTTTTATGGGCCAATCCATGTAAAGGAGGTATATCTGAACATCTGTTCAAGTCAAACGGGGGAAGCAGTGATATGTTAAAGTCCGAAAACAACTGTCACTAAGGCTTTAAACGGTCGGACTGATATTCGTAAATGTTGGCTCGAGCGAAAGCAAAGGCGACTAAAAGCGCAACACAAAAATCTTGATAACAATTTTGGAAAACGGCTTTTGTCTGCGTCGTAATTTGATATAGATATTTTTGAACATCCTTTTCGCCCGTTATATAATACGAAATTAATAAACGACTCTGAAATAAAAATGCTGATAATCCGAATATCGGGTGTATCAAGTGTCCGAATCGTGAGATAAAACATATACTATTGAATTCTACAGCTGTTGACACTGCGGATACTGATCGTTCGCATACAAAATTATTGCGTAAATCAGACCATCAGGAGCATCTATCGTCTAAATTGCAGAGCGCCTCGGGAGAGAAGCACGGTCGCGACACAAATGAAATGCTCCATAAACCTACGGTATCACGTCACACGCACGGATTGTCAACCTACGAAGATGAAGAGGATGCTGGACTGCGACATACATCTTCACACGTACACGCACAGCATGCGCGCTTCCGTGTAACGAAAGATCAGGAAACAGGAAACAATATACCGAAACGGAAACATGCAAAATGGACGCGCACAGACTCTAGAGCATCACATGCATCTTATGCCTCTCACTCTACAAAATCCTATGAATTCGAAACATCGGACGAGAGAGAAAAGCAGAAGAAAGTTTATATCTAAATAAACATCATATATAAACCTGGGGAAGATGATAAAAGAATTTATACATACATATCAGAAAGGATGTAAATTTTCATAAATATGAAATAAATATTGATAAAAATAATTATAGTCAAATAACGAATTCGGTACTTCAACACGATTCATCGATTGATTCGCACAACGAGAAAAGTATCAGAGACAGAAATAAACAGAATCTGAATGGAATTCAACATTCTACTATCCATTCTACAACGTCAACAGGAACAAAAAAGGGAATTGAAAAACAAAACAATCAGGAAACATGTTAATAACAAAAATTCCTACGGGCATGTCTACGCAGCATGCTAAATTTGTGAACGTCGATATCAAACATTATCACTCGAGAGATCAGAATATTGCCGCCAACAACGCAACGTCATTTTCATCGAGTTTATCTGATAATAAAGAGAGCAAACGTACAAATAACATGCTCGCGTCGCCATCAGTCGATGATGGATCGGCTAGAGTTAAAACGAAAACTGAGAAGAACTATGGCGCTCTAGAAAAGACACGTTCTGTAATTGATAATGATGTGACGTCAACGGGGATTGAAATGGGTTTCAGTGGAATTGAAAGTCATCCATCGGTCCATTCATCGTTATCTCATGTTCATTCAAAAACACATCTGGGAAATCAAAAAGTGCATCAGCACCAGCGGATACGAAACAAAACATTTGACAGATGCAAAGACGCTGATTGATAGTCAGATTAAGGATTATGATTTATAAACAAATCAAGAAATTACCATCAATGTTGCGTCATCGACGTCAGAAACAATGCCTTCAATTATAAATGAGTATCATCATAGAATCGAATTATCAGATGAAGAAGTCACCGATCAAAGAAAATTACAATACATAAAAACCAGAAGAATTCGTATAATATTGAAAGGAAGAAAATAGAATCATATCACATAGAAAATAATTAAAAATTAATGACTATATGCTGTAAAAACGTTAAAATTCTTTTTTTCTAATAATGGACAACAATGTTCTAATAATAGACAATCACAAAACAATTTAGTAAAAGAAACGTTATCTAAAATTTTCAGAGAAATACAAAAAAAAAACAAAATAATATTGAAAGAAAAATTTAAAGATATTGGAAGTATAATATCAATGAGAGGAGCGTAAATAAAATATATCACAATATTTTACTGAAATATACGTCAGTTATTTCAAATAAAAGAATATATGCAAGCAACAAGATAAAAGATAAAAATGAAATATACACTGATAATTCTGGTACAGAAAGTGAGATTAATTTTATATAGACGAATAAAATATCTGAAAGAGAAAGATAACATAAATAAAATATCAACGGATTTAGCAACGTTAAATAATAGTTTTAATATCGAGAATCAAAACAATATATTAAAAATGTCAATTGACTTATATAAAGAGATGTTGCAAAGAGATCAGCATAAATCAAGTATTCTGTCGGATACTAACAGAATAATCGATACTGATATTCAAGATAAATATCGGCATAAATTAATTTCTTCAACTGATACAAAAATACAATTCATGATCGATCATAAATCTAATATTTTAAAGAAAAAAGAAACAATTAAGTCAGAGACTCTTAATAATATATTGATAAATGGAAAAAGATGTAAGTTTCAAATAATAATATCACCATTATCAAACGCACAGAAGCACAGAATAGAAAAAAAAATATTATAAAATTAGTGAGATCCGCAGGGTCATTAGTTAATAATATTAATAAAGCTGCACATGACGCAATGCAAAAAAATCTGCATTTAATCTTTTAAACATCGCAAAAATAAATAAACAATACAGATATGACGATCAAATAGCAAATGTAGCAGATACTGGAAAAATAAGAGCAGAAATATTAAGCTCTAAACATTTCATCAAACATATCAAATAATACTTATATTTGCTCGTATTCGCGAGATATATATTATATTTGTTTCAATTCCCGACTTATATTAACGAAAGACTATTAACTTTAAGATATGTTATATTGATTTGAATTGAATTTTTTACTGAAGAAGGCTGCGTGCAGTCGAAATGTTTGTTTGTAATATAAATTGAATAAATTGTTTATTTTATATCACCTTAATAAATGCTCGTTACGTTGGTCTTTAAATAAATTTCATCGAACATTTTAAAAATGACGCAAAAGAAAAAACGCAACAAAATAAAACATCATAAAATAATTACTTCAAGTACAGAATTCTCGAAAGGAATCAATTCTAGCAAAATGAAAAATGCACGTCAAGAGTTATTGAAAGATGTAACGGCGTCTAACTCACGTACAAAGTGCAACACGAACACATTAGTGATATTGTAAAAGAAAGTTTAAAAGTTACTTGGAAGCACCAAAACGTCAGCGTAAACAAAATCTTCCGAAAAAGTTGAGAGTAAATCTCAAGAAAAATTAGTAAGAAATTCAACGAAATCTAATTCATATGCAAAATCGAAACTAAAAAATAAAATGATTTAAATATTTTGAAAGAAGGATAAATTTAAAAATTTTAAGCGCAGAAACATTAACAAATTCAGCGATTTTTTCAATAATCTTCAAAATGTACAACAAAACAAGATAAATAAGAATTTATTATATGATCTAGAACTCCATAATATATTATGTATAGGAGAAATAAGAATGAGAAGATATTGAAAATAATCTTACCAATACTGTAGATTTGATCGTATTATCAAAAGAAGTAAACTCCAACATTCTTAATGATAAATATCATAGTTACGTAAAAACGATATTTAATAAAACATCATTGTCTAATTCAGAAATGCAAATTGTTAAACGTGCTGGATATAATTCAAATATTCAGCTAATATTAACACAAATGACATTTTCCAATAATATAAAAGAACATGAAATAAATAAAAACACATACACACTGTTATATAAAGAGAAAGTCGTAAATTTAATATCTGTGCATCATCTTCGAATAGTCAAAATACTAGTAAACACGATTTATCAAAAATATTGTCATAATCCAGTTTATACACTACATTACAAATGAATAATGTACATTTAAGAAATGTTGCAGAAGACGATCAGAAATGAATATTTACTTCCACTAATAATCAAGATAAGCAAAACAAAATATTACACATTCAAGATTCTAAAAATCAAAGAATAACAAAATCTAAAAATAAGAATAACTTTTTGAGAAAAATTCATGATAATGAAACGGCTGCAGTATCAAGACAAGCAACGAGTTCTAACAGTGTTAAAAACGAGCATCAAAATAATTTATTAAAAGCGACATCGTTAATTAATTTGTTTGCAGACACGCAGAACATGCAAAAAGACGAGTCGAGTGTTTGTAAGAAACAACACTTAATTACTACAGATTCCATAATATCATCGGATTCAAACATCTCCGGTTATTTGAATAGTCTTCATAAAAGTGATCTCGAAAACTAATTGAAATATCATTAAGTAATTCTCACACAAAATCCAAGGCGTAAAAATAAAAATTATATACATAAATATTCTGACAAAGAAGCACACGGGCATTTTTAGCGCAGACAGATCAGGGTAGTAATATATTGTAATTTCCAGTGAATTAAAAAATCAGAAACGAGATCAATTATTTTAAAAATCGTTATCTGACTTGTATACAAAAACGAGGAATGAGAAATAGTACGATAATAAAAACGGTATAAACAGTATAAAACAGTATTAAAAAAACGTCGAATGTTGCTTTAAATACAAAAATAAAAGCCTTTCAATAATTTAAAATAAAAAACAATTCACACGGTCTAGTTAATGCCTATTCAAAAAAGTTAACAGAAAATGAAAATATTTTCCAGATAGATGTAATTAAAAATAACCTTTCAAAAACATCGTCGGATTTATTTTCCGAAACACAGGTTAAAAGTGATTCAATAATTCTAAAAGATGACTGTGAAAACTCTGCTACAGTAAACACAACAATTAAAACAAAAAGCAACAATTACCGTAATTAACAAGATTTACGTCAAAGTAAATTCTTGTCGAGCAGTGCTTAAGATAGCCAACATAACATTAAATCAACATCGTTAGGGAATTCTGACGTAACAGTATCAGCTACGAATGAAAATATTGTTAAAAGCGGAAAGGCCAAAAAAATGAAATCAATTTAACTTGTCAACTTTGGAGAAATATATAATAATATCAAAAAAGAACACTTGAATAACTAGCCGATTACAATTCTTGCGGAAAAACGCACAGAAAATAAGAATAAGTTTAATGATTCGAAAACAACTGAGAAAGTTGCTATCTATACAGGAACATCAGCAGTAGCACCAACCACCAATAATATTGAAAGCGAACAACATGATATTCACGTAGAAGATCGAAGCAAATTGGAAGATAGTTGGAAGAAAATTTGGAGTGCTATTTTAGATACTTCAGCCGAGATGATTGCTTTGAAATAGAAGAATAAAAGTAAAACGAAAAGCATTTTGAATAATAAACTGGCAACGGTTTTGTCTAATGAGGTACATGCAAAAATAATAAACAAAGAAAAATGTGACGTAATAAATAATTTAGCATCTTCCGTCAACACTGAAGAAGCGCAACGTTCGATCACATCTGCAATATCATCTGCATTTGCATCAACTTCTAGCAACATGAAAATAAATATTGTCACGAAATATGATCAAATTAATAATAAAATGTCGACAATATCGCTGATTACTTCACTCTCGAAGAATATTGAAAGAGATAAAAAATATATTTTTTCAGACCAGATATCTTTACATCTATTAGATAAAATAAACAGATGTGACAAAGGATGTCGAAAAAATTCATTAGCCAGGCTACTAACTTGTACAAGGTAAACAAGTCATGCATTATCAATGATTAGTAATTATTTTACATAATAAATTTATTATAAATTCATAAATAGTAACTTCATATTAAAGCTATTTGTTAAAATAAATATTATATTATATATTTAAAAATTTTTTTATTTGAAAAATATAAAATTCAAAAAGTTAATTTATATTGATACGTTAATTTGTTTATTAATAAAATTTTTAATTATTCTATTTTATATCGATAATAGGCAAACAATATAGCATAGAATATAGTGAAATTTTACTGATAAAAAGAAATTTCAAAGGACCTTCAAATAACAAGTTACAAAAACAGTGTACTATCACCGCTTATTGCATATTGATTAATTCTATGAGAAGTATATAAAAGTATACGTACAATATTAGTGAATAAGCAAATTTTTTGCACCGATTGCCCACTCAAATAGATTAGAGTAAGTAATTATACAATATACATATGTTACATTATGCATCAATTAAAAGTAATTTAATAATTCTATTTTTATATGCCTGTTAAATGGACTATTTTAATATTAATATATAATATATATACTATATATTTTATAAATTTTACATGTTTTTAAAATAACGTTTAAATATAATATAAATAATAGATATTTGAAATATAGCTCTGGTGTAAAAAAAAAAAAATATATATATATACTGCCATCATCATTATCGAGATTTATTATTCAAGAATTTATTTGATATAATTATCATAGTTTATATCGCATTGTAAAAAAACATTTATCAGATAAAACTTTAAAAAGATACTGTCCATTAAAAAAAATATAGTAAATGCTCTGTATAAAAACAATTTTATTTCGACTTTTCTCCAAATGGATATTGTAAAGGCAAAGTTTATGTTGGAATAAAAAAACATTTATAATTATTTTTTAGACATTTGCAAAATCTGACTACGTTAAAGCATTCTATTGTATATCTAGATATATATATGTATATATATATATATATATATATATATATATATATATATATAAAGAGCTGATGACGGAATAAAAAGTAAAACCACACCTATAAAAAGATCTTTCTCCTCGGGGGCAGTCATATAAATGCTCAGACCCGCTCCACGCGTAAAAGTAAGGATGACCTCGTTCGAAAAAAAGTCTGTTTCCACTTTAGACTTGCAAAGAGCCAGATAGCCGACGGCAGATAGAAAAACGCGGGGCGACATTAAAAGATATGACATATCTTTGGAAAAATAAAACAATTGATGTACGGACAGCAAAATTTGAAAGAGAGTCATGAAATCGAAGATTCAGTGATGATCATTACTGACGAATGATTCAGAGGGACACGTAGAATAATAGATATAATTTACGATGCGCGCTTATCGTTTGACTTACAATTAGAGTTTGTGTCACATTTGGTTACTACACAAGTCCCTTTATGACCCTCGAGTCGAGTGCAATTTCATCATCGTCGACTATGTCGGTCATGACCGACAGGAACTGGAAGCTCGAAGTACCTTTCTTGTTACGCCAGGCCCACGCCAGGTCGAAATGTTTAACCGCAGGATGACATTTTACAGATGATAACCATTCATTTCATTTTATTTTATTTTATTTTGTATTAGTGAGATAGACGATAATGTCAGCGAATCTGCGATACCACTTGAAAGAAATTGTTTTTTTCTTTCTTTATATCTCTCGATATATATCAAAATATAGTATAAGAATTAATATTTTTAGATCTCTTCTCAAAATCTATCTATAATAATATTTTTGGCTGTAATAATTTATATATGTTTCCTCTCTGCCCAAGTATAGAGTAACTATATAATCTGCGATTTGATATTATCCAATTTTTGTACACTCACCTCGAAATCCGTGAAGGCTTTGTACGTGAGAATCAGACAACCGCTGAAAAATATACAGGTGGCCAGATTTCTGGTATCCGTAAAAGACGTAACCAAAGGAACAGATCCCATTTGCCAATCATGCGAGAGTATAGCCGGACACAGAAGTAACCAACAATTCAACGCCGCCAAGTAGCAAAAAGTCAGCAATCTGAAAATAACAATGATACGATTGAAGATTGAAAATGCATACGCACGCACACATGTACAATTGTACAATGTAGTTGTAAATAAAATATTTCGCCTTTTATTTTGACATAACTATGTGCTTTAATTTGACAATTGTATACTGACTTTTTATTAGAACATTTTTTGCGTACTGAAGAAGACTAAATAGAATTCGAAACGTTTAAGAAATTTAAGTTTTTGTAATTAGATTTAAAAATTAATTTTTTCCAAGAACAAGGCTCTTTCTTATTGCTTATTTTATTTGGCCTAGTAATTAAGGAAGTTTTTTGCGTTTGTTTACATACGAGCTTGAACACTGGTTATTAGTGTATTTTGTATTATACAATATATTTTTATAGACGAGATTCTTATTATATTGATAATACCCGTTTAATCTGATCTGATTCAACCGCTTTAAAAATCATCGCGCTCAATTCGCAGACAAGTTTGTCGTCCTGACGCTTTTTCCCGGAGAAAAATTGGCCGCTCGATCGCAGCAACGAAGGCAACTTCTCACGATCGGTATTGTCCTCTTGGCACGAGCTGAAGAGGTCGGCCAATGGGGCTGGAGTGGTATCCTCCAGTTGCTGACATCGAGGTTCCATTTTCTCACTATCAGCATCTACCGATATAATCACCGATATAACGCCTCCACCACGCCACGGTAAGCGTCTGTGCGATCGTCGACGGGGATATTCTCGGTGTATCGTCGCGTTCTCCCCGGGACGGCTTACTCGGCAAGTCTATTGTCTCGCGGACAAGCCCACCCACACAACGCGCCGTGTAACGCGCCGGTAAATATTCGCCCGTGCCGTTGTGAGTGTTAATTCCGACGGCTCATGAGTCCCCTCTAATTGTCCTCGGCGCCAGATGTGGCGACGTCACCCAACATCGGCTCTATTCAGCAGCGAATAGTCGAAAAGTAAGCGAGTACCGAGAAGCGAGGTGTAAGAGATTCTCTAAGCTCATCCTCGCTCTCAATAAATTACCCAGTTGGGTACGAGGGAGTATAAACTTATCTATGTGTACAATTAAGAGTGACATTACATAAATTACAGTGGAAATACGCGATGGTGATTTATATGTATTGTATGGCGCGATGTGCGCATAAATTACATCGCAATCGTTATATCATCGCATCGTTAAGCAAATTTTCTCCGGCCATCGTTCTTGATAACGACTAACATATATTTTGCAATGTGACTTTTTAATGCATATTCTAATGAAACACAGTTTCGCGTTTAAACAGTACATGAAAAAAAAACGTACTGAAAAGTGTTAAAATTTAAATACAGAGTGGCTCTTCTAATTGCTCTCTTGGCGCAAGCAAAATTTACATACCTACAGCAATTGTTTTAAATGTCTCACGATTTAATGACATTTATCCCTTTGTTATTTCATGCTTGAGCACGTATATTATACTGCTACTTACTAATTAATATCCATCTTTTGGACAGTTGGGAAAAACGCAATGTGGGACTCGAAAAAAAAAACAAAGACAATAATGTATCTCGCAGCTCTGAGAGAGCGGCCGTCCTCTTTCTGAATAATTTTTCTTGCTCCGTTGACTATCTATATTTTCATTTCGTTGAAATGATTGATGACGGCGTCTGTGCATCACGAGCTCGCAAGATACGAGATTCGGAAGCTCGTAGTGCAGGAATAAAAAACGATCTGAGATGTCAAAATAATAATTTGTGGCATATATCACGCGCGATGCACGTATGAAATACATAAAAGTATTACAAAACGAATAGGATCTTCCCGAAAAAATGGTCGTATGGGAGAATATGATATATATTCGTGTGTCCATTCTTTTTAGAAATCACGAATATAACAAAGATGGCTATAAATCTAGAAAGAATATTCTCAAATTTGTGGACTTTTATAGATGGGCTTCCATAGATTCGCTTAAATAAATATTACTTTTTTAGGATTCGCAGTTAACAATAAATTTGTAATAAATGATAGATAAAAAAACAGTCAAAAGCTAAAAATATTTTCTTATAAATGTTATAATATACTCACATATCTTAATTTACGAATTATTTTAAATATTTTTTTTATATATAAAGATATAAATATAGTATGCATGTAAATGTTAAATTTTTTACATTTGATGCAGAAGAATTAATCAATTGGTTCAATTAAGACTATTTCATCAAGACGGTTCGCGCTAGACACCGTTTCTTACCAGTCTCACGATCGTTTGTCAAGCCAACCAACTTCAGAAAAAGCTTTCTTTTGAAGCCGTCATTCGCGTAGAAACGCGATGTCATTAGCTTTTAATCGTATCCTTCCATCAATTTACCCTCTCTTTCATTCAACCGTCCCCTTTTTCCTCTACACCTTCGTGATATGCGGGTATCGATCCTGTCGATGCTCATAAACGGTAAAGTTTTCCGCCCGTTTCTGCGACGTTAAGATATTGTCGGCTCCCAAATTACATGCATCATGTCAATTTGATCATAATAAATCTAAACTTATATTTCGAAAGAAAAATCCAAATTTGTATCTGTAAAGGAGAAAGAAGAGGAAGGAATTAACATAAAAGAGATTTATGGCCAAGAGTAATATGTTAGATGTATTTGTCGCTCTTTATATTAATATTCGGTTAAAACATGTCCGAATAAAGAATGATAATTTCAAAGCGCTAAAAACGATTAATCATGTTTTCGAAATTTATAAAATCAGATACAAAGGTGAAAACTTTAATCGACGCTCGCGTGATAAGTTCTTCGCACCATCGTCCGTTCGTTTCGCCATCGTCGGCACGTAAGAACTTTGATCTCTCGTACATGCTTTTGAATTCAGATGAAAGCAATTTCCCTCGATTACCAGGCCGAGGTGCAAGATAGGCTACGATCGATTCGCACGTGTTCCTAAGCATTCACTTGGTGATTTCGAAGCGAGATTTATTGCATGCATAATCACGCAGCTTCTAAGCACGCGAACTGGCATCATTTTTCTATGTCAAATTTTTCAGATAGTCACCTCATTTGCATAAATGCAATTTCCAAGCGCGAAGTCATGCATCATGTAATTAAAAACATATGCATACTCCTAACAATTTGTTGGTAATGCTTTTCACACTCTTTCAAATTGAAATGTGAAACCGAAATGTAAGTGTACGTATTTTAGTTAATATCTTAACGTATAGAGATAAAATTTCATGCCTTCATCTAGAAGAATTATGCTAACGTTATGTATTTTTCTATACTGTATAGATCCTATTACAATATCACATTTACAAAAATATAGATTTTTAGAATAAAATAATAAGTTATCAATCGTTATTAATTATCAGATCACATTATGTGTGAATAATCGCGACTGTTGTTACGAGTATCGTTATAACCGAGGAAAATAAATTGCACGTCCAAGTTTTTATTTTTTACATTCTTCGTATCATAAATTATCTTCTACATCATCAATAATATTCCATCAAAAATTTTTTTTTCTTTTAGAAACTTGGCATTGTGAAAAAAATATGGGCCAGACCGACACGTTGCGTACGAAGTAGCTGACTAGGAAACGACACGATATCGTGAGAAGAGTAACGGTGCGGGAAGAGGTCTCTGTAATAGAGGTTTATTGGCAATTAATCTTCCGGGCCGGATGTGCCCGCTTCGTCGGGCACGATACACTTCCGTCTCAGCGAGCGACCGGTAAACCGAGAAGAGATGTATTGCATCGTACCACGAAATCAAACGTACGTCCTTCTCTCCACTTCCTCCCAGTTGATACCAATTCCCCGGTCTACCTGCCGTGCGTCTTTGTCAGTTGCGCCGGAAGTGCATTGTTTCTGAAGTACGATTCTCGGGAGATGTCCGTCAACCTGATCTTGATCAAGTGGCCTGTAGGTAAGTATTATTTTTTTCTTCGAGTTTTTATATATTACGCGTGTTGCATATCTAATGTGTTAAATTTGATTAAAGTTCATCTCGATATGATATTTCGCCGAAAGCACAGAGCTGATTATAGCGGTTACATTCATCTGTTTATTGTCATTATCACGCTTTCCGTATTCATCCAATCATTCAACGTACTAGTGATATGCTGAATTAGTTCTACGCAAGAGTATCGATTTTCTTTAAAATTTAATAGTTCCATTCTGTCCTGTAGTATCACAAAGAGAACAATAGCACACATCGGTGCACCGTTTCCGTGAATAGTAGTAATTCCGTCATCAAATTTAGCCTCGATGATCGGATTCGCGCGAGCTGCGATATTGCGGCTTAATTTTCAATCGACGGCCCAGGCGTATAAATGCGTGCAACACACAGAATACAAAAAAGCACACGCTTGCTAATTATTCGTTATTGGAATTATCACCGAGTCACAATAACTGCCACCATAGCTAATCATTATATTTAATATCAAATGTCATTTTAATTATAACACATTATTGTAATATCATTCGTGCACAAATATTGCAAATGCAAAGCTGCAGCATAGTATTAACTTTTATAACAATAACATTAACATTTAGGCAGCTTACTTATGGATAATGAAAATCAGAACAAAATATTTATATATATTGCATGCTGTAATTAATTTACTTAATAAAATGAATTACTCATATTAAATTATTACTATTTCATTATGAACTATTTCATAAGGCGTTATTTTAATTTCTCTTAAAAAATCGTCTATTCTAGCTCGTATTTGTCGATGTCTTAATTTTATTGTAATTAAAACAAAGTGAAATAAAAAGATATGAAACCATAAATATTTTATCCATATATATTTGTAAATTTTATATAAAATTTATTTTAATATTGATTATTAACGAAAAACAATTAAAAGCATAGAATAATGCATATAAATACAAATCATCGGATTAAATAAGTTAAGCTAATGGAGAGACCGGATTTATTTCAATAAATCAAAAATGTGAGAAAAACAAAACTCAAATTACTTCATAAAACATTAAATAAATTCACATAAAGTAATGTTTCCTAGCGACAACAAATCAGTTGGCACACGATTTTTTTACATAGCTGCATACATGTACGTAAAATTCGCAAAGAGAAACTTGAATCGGCAGTTAATAGCATGATTCATTTTATACGCTGTTCCTTGAAATGCGATCATTTTGTATGTACAATTAGAGACTACCAGCCCGTACAATTAACTGCCTTTATGATAAAAAAATTTGTAAATATATCAAAGAGGAGGCTATTTATCGAAACAATAAATATTTCGTGCAATTTATTCTTTTGAAATAAAAATGAAAGTATTAAAAGATAAGCTGACCGGAGAACTCGCTTTGGTTTTTGAAGAAAATTTATAATATATTGCTTCGTCAGCTTTTTGCCGACAAAATTCTCTCAATACCTTAATGTTGGTGCGAAAGTTCAGTATCAGAAAGATGTATCCTGAATAAGAAGCTAAATTCTTTTAATCTTTTTTTTTCACAAACAGTTCGTCGCGTTTTAATTTCAAGAATTCTGTGCGCAAAGTGTCAGCCTTTGATAATCTTTAAAAGCTTACGAAATCTATTTCATATCTGAAATATTCTCCTTTACATATATAGTTATCGTCGTTAGCCACACTTTTGATGCCAATGAAGTGGGTTATTTTATTGAGACATTATTGGGCCATCGCTCAATGAGGGCAAGCTCTGTTCCAGCAAGCGATTTGACCCGAATTGGTTAGAGTTCGCTTGATTGCCCAATAAAGGCAGTTGGGAAGGTCGTTGTTTGAATTTCTTCTCTTAGCCCATGTATGCGTATATAGACTATGGTGTAGATTATAGTAGTGATTTGACTCCAATTTCTTATACTAGTTTCTCATGTGAATCGTAATGACAATTTAATAATTCTATAACTTATTGTTAGTTCTATCTTCACACGCAACGAAAGATTAGCATATGTGAATTATTATATAATTATTCCATTAAATACTTTTGCAGTTTATATAATCTACAGATATATAATTCGATGCGTATATAATAATAATTTTTTAATAATATTTATTATTTTGGACGACCGTTATAATTTGGATCTTATACATATTAGCATGTACTTTTTTCATTACAAATAAATCTATTATACATTGTCTACTTTACTAAATGAGTAATAGACTTTTAATTTATGATAATGGAAGCTAAATGTATATACTTGAATTAATTTTTTGTTTTTTAAACTTTAATTTGTTGCGTACAAATTTAGATATTTTTAGTTATTTGGTGTGTATTTTTCTCTCTTTTAGAGATATTTTTTTCATTAAATTATTTTTACGTAAACAAATTACCATTTCCATCGTCAGCGCCATTATTATTTTAACCAAGTCAAATTAATGATTACTTGCCCTATTGGCGAGCGTTCCTCTTTAACAGAGAAAATATTTAACCTCCGGTGAAGAGGTGAAAATAGAAAAGGATCAAAGAGAGTGAGAGAGAGGTAGAGAGAAAGTCAGGAACGACATACGTAGATATTGCACCCAACCCCCGATTCGCATTTTCCACCTAAATGCACTCACTTCCTCGCTTCCGACTTTTCGTCTAAAGTCTAGACGGTGCTCTTTCGATTGAATTTTCTTCTCTCGTATTAATGACGGCATTCATATTAGTTCAACTTCCGTGAGTTATTTTAATTGAGTATACACACGAATGCATCGAGATTCTCCTTCGGACTGTAAAAGGAAGAATAATTACCGGGAAGCAATAATATCTTTGCTGTTTAGAGTCGTATGTTTCGAAATATAAACGGGATAAAAACATGCGATCTCATTCCAGTGAGCTTCATTAAAGATTTCTGTTAATTAAGAACACATTTAAAAGGTAAGCGAATATATTATATTGCGCATCTATCCTCATATTATCGTAATATGTGTACAATAAATTCCAATCGCAATCTTCATTATTTATTTATCCTACATTGCACTACTTAATTGCCATGTTACGGTACAGTTTTAATTACGCTTTATTAAGTATATTTCTCCCGATTATCCTTTGCATGTACGTTACACTTGATTTGCCAAAGCAATATTTATTGGTGAACGTAATGTGCGTTCAATAGACTATGATCAGATGGAATTCATGTAACATGAAATTGAATTGAAACGCTATTTCGAGAATAGTAGCGATAGTTATACGCTTCATTGCTTATGAATACATGATACATTGATTAATACGTACCAAACCATATAATTATTACATTGTTAATTTCGCCACAAAGTTACTTTTTAAATTCCTATAAATGTATTCTCAACATTCTTATAATTCAATATAATTCAATATAATTATTTCAACCTGCGAAGATAAATCTCACTGCTATAATTAAGTTCAATCTCGTATAAACTTTGACCATGTATGTGTCCACATATTATTTCTGCTATATTCGCATAGAATAGTTTCGAACTTTGTGACGAAGGTTAAAATTAGAGCCATTAATATGGTCTCCTGCAATTTACCTGGGAACATTAAGCACTCTCTACTTTAGCTCTTAAAGATTAATCAGCTTTCCACTGTTGCAAAATAAGCATTGCACTCATTGTCAGTCTATAAACGCGGTTATAAATATTATATAAACTTAACGAATAAATATAAATTAAACAAAAGGCATATCCTACATATTTTATTTTTTTTGATTGATGCAAGTTCATAAATCGTCTCTGAGCAAATATTTTCTCATCAAGATATCGTAAAAAAATAGACCACTGACATGAGGGAAACAGTGAACGACGGAGAAACAGAACATGCAAATCATGATGACAATAGACAGAGTGATGAGAGAATTAGTGAGTCTCTCCACGCAGATAATTTGTGTCGTGTAGTTATCCATCGATTTTCAACCATACGGATAGGATATAGATAGGTAAGACATGGGTTATGCCTTTCGTAGTAATTTACTCGACTTCCTCCCGCTCCCAACTAACGAATGAGTATAGCCGGAAGGAGTGGAATTGATTGATCGAAGGCAAAGCATCGCCTCACGTACAGAATGTGCCGTCACTCTTGGTTAGCAGCATACGGAAATTGATGACGATCCAGTTCTCTTGCGTACGAACGCGTCAGAATGGATTCAGGAAACGCGTACACGAAAGCCGCACACTTCGATTTAACTGTTTCCACCCTCATCTCTCGTCGTCTTCTCTGATCCGTCGTGCATATTTCTACCACTCTACGACGCGTTACGCCGTAATGAATGGAAGTTGTCGGAATGGATTATAACGCACGGAGGTTTCGGGTCTCGGTGAAACATCTAGGGTTCAAAGCATGTAACCATATACATGTACATATCATATCAGATACGCCGTTGGGGTTTGTCAACGACATCTCTCGTTGATGTCTCGTTGTACAACTGTTCGTGCAACTAGTATTATAAATGTAGATGGAGAAAATTTTGGGAAATTTCAAATTTATAATCATATTTCTATTTTGTGAAAGAAAAAGTAGCATTTATCAATACGTTAGTTTATTTTAATAAATGTTTCTCCAAATAAGATGCTATTATGATTTAATATGATTATGCTATAAAATGAATGAAGGAGTCAAGAACCGATGTAAAAAAGATCTAAATATTAAAATTATTACGTAAATAGCTTTATTATTATTGTAATATTTCCAATTAATTTTTATATTCGTTTTTCAAATATTTTATATTAGTCTCCTTATACCAATATATAAGCATTAAAATGTCAGGTTTATAAATCTTCGGATATTATAATGCAGAACAATGTGATGTACGGATTTTACTGGATTTATTTAATACATTTATATTAATATCTCTTGCACGACACTTGTTGATATGTTGATCCTGTTCGAGATTTTTATTTTATTTTGTCAGGTTTATAGGTACAAATGAGCAAGAAAATATTGACTAATTACTTGACGTGGATGGTCATTTTTTCGAAA